TTCTTGGACTCTTCATAATTACACAAGCAGATTGCATATATAAATGTGATATGTAAATTTGTATAATAGCACCTTGTATTATCATTGATATCTTCCTTTGAATAAGTTTCCTTATTTGCTAAAAAATGAAATTCCTCATTCTTGTAAACTGATAATCTCAGTAAGACAAGAAAGATTGTGGTACTGCCTTGACAAATTCCTCAGAACACATTTTCAAATCTCAGAAGTCTCAGAAGTACTAATTCCTGCTGTTGTTTCCAATACCTTCACTAGAAATGATATCTCCTTGTCTTTTTAATCTAGATCTGGTGTTGCAATTGCTGTGATAACCAGGACATTAAAACTGCATATGTCAAGAAATATAGTTGGATTATAAATCTATTTTTTTACTATGTCTGTTAGTAATTACCCACTAGCTGCTTGGCTTCGCTACATGTTCCTTTGGGACAAACAAGAAAATAAATATTGAACAATTAATTCAGCTTTACTTTTTTGCAAGACTAGTGCATATAGTGCATATGTCATTAAAAAATGTACTGTTATCTTCACCTGATGCACTCCCACTTCTCCATGATTTACACAACAAAATTTATGTCTATCAATACTAGAAACCACATACTTTGGAAAACATCTAGAAAAAACGTGTGTTGAAAATGCAGTATCTTAATGGAATGTTAGTTTAGAAGCAGTATGTTTGACTTGATTCAGTGCAAGGATTCCTAAATGAGTGCCTAATCACAAGGGCTTCCATTTCATCAGAAGAAACAGACCCACTTCAAGCAAGATTTTTTCCAGTCTGGTTGTACTCTAGTCAACTGGTATTATAATTATTTTTTTAAATTAAGTGTAGTATAATTGAAGCTTGATAAACACGTGAGTACAAAGAGCCTTTTAGTTCTAAGCATTTACAAACTAGAGCCACATTTTAAACTGGTTACATATTCACATTTTATTGCTGATACCAGACTGTATGTCTGTTTCTGTTTGCTTTTGCCTTTTTATATTCTCCCTTCATTTTTTCTGTAGTATTAAAAAGGGATTATGTAATATGATGTTCTGGTGAATGCAGAACCTTTTCTATTCCCTAATAAATATTCAAAAATATTTTGCATACATCTTGTGAACAAGGCTTGTGAAATCATAATGGGATGACTTATGAGCATTCAACTTCCCTATACTGAAGTATAATCTAGTCAAATGGATGGTATAGCAAATCATCCTGACACATTTATATTAATGCATATTTAAATGAGAATAAGAAAGAAATAGTCAAATTTATGTTAAAGACTTCTAAAGGCTTAACAGCATCTTACTAAATACGTATGTCAGCTTAATCTAATCCTCCTACTTCTATGCGTTCTGCAGTCTCAGCATGGTGTCCATAATGCTCTCGTATGTTATCAGGGATTGCCTCTGAGAAGTTCACCATCAATACTACACTTAGTTCAATAAAACTTTACATCTGGTCTTAGGATGACAGAAAGCTATCTGTCTCAAATTTGCATCACAAACCTTTAGCTTCTTTTGACATCAATAACACTTGCTATAGCAATTTCCAATAACCTGTTACAGTAGTGGATATCTATCTATATATATATACACATATATGTACATACATATATTCTTTGTTCTCATCTTACTGTGTCAGGTACAAACAGGCTTCTCTAATTTATTTGGGCTGTTCCTAATAAATGTTCAATTTCTTTGCATCAGAAAAAGCATTAGTCTCATCAGAAGCTTATTTGAGATTATCTGTGGCAGCATTCTTTCACTCCAGCGATTTTAAGTTTTACTCTAAGAAAAAAAAGGTAACTATTTCATTTTCATGCTTTTGCTAGAAGAGATAATACTGTGATTCAACCTCTTTCAAGAATTCTTCTAGATTATTTACCAATCTTATGACATGATGGAATTCCACCTGAACTTCAGCAAGACTGGAATAGTCATTTCCTCAGCTCTATCTATAATAATTTCTATCTATTCCATTACAGGTACATCTGTCTGATGTGCTTTGCATTAAAAATATTTGAAAAGCAGTGTCTAGCATCCCCTGATAGATTATTAATATTATCATTCCCCAGCAGACAATGGATCTGATTGTAGTTGAAAACTCCAAAAGGACAGGTCTACTTGTGGGACTAGCAATGTCTAACACATGTTGAAGATCAAACATGTCAGTAATGGATCGTCATGCAGATGGTTAGCAACCAGCACTACCTGAGATGAATTAATAATTGCAACTGAAAAACTGCTCTCTCAGTATCATTTGTGTTCTGGCAGCCGTATCAAAAGAAGAATATTTTTAAAACTCCATGCATTAGGTCTCATATTTTCATGATTTATTCAGTTTCTTAGTAGAACACTTCTCTTTTTGAAAATCCTACCATTCGATCAGTAGTGCAAGTAATCTGTGGCAGTCAACTGGGCACAGAAACTAACCTTTGGAGGTAGTAGATACTATTACAAAGAGACATCTATACACTCAATATCTTAGAAAAGCCTACAAACGCAGGCATAAGCAAATTTAGGCTACCCTCAGAATTGACAAGATGCATAATAGTTCTTTTTTGTATATCAGGACTGTTCCTCTTGTGACTTGCCTGTCTCATTTTGATTCATGCACCCACAAGCTCTCCAGAAGCAGAAGAAGTTTATTTGAACTTGCCTAGGTGTATTAAATGTAAGCATCTAAATCTATTGAGGTAATGAATTAAACTTCTGCGTAATAAAATCATCATTTTTCCTCTCATGGTGCAGAATTTAGGGAGAAGGCTGAAAAGTTAATGGCTATTTGTAAATGAAATTTACAACTTGAGGGCCACTTTAAAGTTGAAAAAGAACATAGAAATATACTACCACAAACTGAAAGCAAGTATGGCCATTGGAGCTTAGCAATCTCTAAACAGTTGAAATACTGTAAGAATCAAAAGGAAGGTCTGATTCAGGTATGCAGCCTTTAACAACTCTAGAATTGAACCAGACTATTTTGCTTATGGACACTGTCTAGGATAGAGAGAAATGAATCTTGGAGTCTTTATAAAGTGCTTGTTTAACTGAGTGTTAATGTATATTTGAGTACATTATCAATTATGAGAAATATGATTACAAATATAGTATAAAAGACAGTCAATTATATATTTCATTAATAGGCTTAATCCTTTTGAAAGGCAAGAAGGTTTCACTGTAGCCTACATGCCTATCAAGGCTCCAAGAACATGTATAAACTGTTCTTAACATATCGCTGTGTCTTAATAATACATTAAAAATTACCCTTCTGGTTCAAAATCATGTCATTTATATATGTAGCAGTCTTATATTTGATTGAAACTATCAGTAAAAGACAACAACTTTTTATATGAGAAATTATTTTCAAATTGCATATTTCTTCTTCCCATCACACAAACTTTCTGGAAATTTTTCCTAAGTAGACAAAGTTTATTTCTGAAGTCTTTGTCAATAAGTTAGTGCTATTTGTACGTTTAACGTATTCTATATACTCTAAAGATTGCAAGAATGTATTTCTTATCCATGAAGATAATGATAAAATTGCTATAATGACAGGAATTATTATGACAGTATAGAGATCTGAACACAACTAGAATGAATATACGAATATCAAAACAACTTTCTATATCTGGGCCATTAGTAGCGTAACATGAATACAATTGAATCATATATTCATGCACACTGTTTTCATGCACACAATTTACACATCATATTGAGCAATATACTTAATAAAGCAGATTAAATTTATTTGGACGTAATTATTTTATGGCCTGAGAAATATAAGAAAGAGAGCAGGCAAAATGATAATGCTAATCCCATGCCAGAAACATATTTTATCAGGTTTCTTTTTAGCTCTTAAACAAGATGTAGTAAAAACAACAACATTCTGTCAGACTATATGTTCATTTCTTGCTTCCTGGATTAAATATGCTTATGCTATGCCACATTTTTATAGCTTTCAATTCCTGTACTTTAAACCTATTAAACAATGTCAAGTTGAATTTTCTTCAAAAACTGCTGCAGGTTAAGAAAAAAAAATAGGACAGTGGAATATTTGAGCACTAACATTTATGTCAGCTAATTAATATGGATCAGTTGTGGTTTGCAAAGATTTTAAAGTGCATGCATATTTGAGACAAATATAGATGAAGGATCTGATTTAGTTCCTTCTCAGATTGATAGAAAGCTCTTACTGATTTCAATACAAGTGTGATCTACCAGTATTGTATGCCTGACAGATAAAAGAAGCTTTTGTGCTCTTGCATAATATTAGTTTTTCCAAATTGAGTACAGCCAAAAATACAGATGTACCATATAAGAAATAAATCATAGTTGCAACATTGTATTTTTTGTTCTTTATTCTTTTTACTTGATAATGGAATGTGATTTTGATAAAACTAAAACTGGGAAAAACATTAAACTTCTCCACTCAAAAAAATCTGTCTAAAACTTGCTATGAAATTAGCCTGTTTCATAAACTGGCACTCTCTTATCTTGGGACGCAACGGCATTTTTTTTTTGTTTCAGAATAATAATATTTCATTATTTAGTCTCCAAAAAGTTCTTGTTAACACAATACATTTGGTTGTTTGAACATACTTCTACATCAAGACAAAAATGGACTACTGCTCAATAATGTTTAAGCAAAAGATTCATGACCCCTATGTTTGACCCTGAGGCTGGCAGATTTCTTGGCAATTTCTTCTTTATAGAATCACAGAAGAAATCAGATAGAAAGGAAATCATTTAGTTCAACCTACTGCTGAAAGTCAGGATCAGAAAAAGCAAACTAGAGCTTCCATTTGGACTTGAATGTCTCCAAGAATGGAACCTTTCTATTTAAGAAGTATGTGTCAGTAGAACAAACATATCTTAATTGGGCTTTTCCTTGAAAGGCACTTTTAACATGTTTTCTTGTAATCAAACCTTATGTAAAAGTAAAACAAATTGCATTATGCTTAGTGTTAAGACTTGTTTTCTACCCGAAGTCTTACCTGATTGTAACATTCCAATATCAAAGACATCCTTCTTGAAGAAAGCTCTAAATGACAAAGGACTTGCACTGCAATCTTCTGAAAGTTTCTCAACAGCTTGTCCAAACATAGAAACTAAGTCATGAAGAGGTCCATCTAAATCAAGCTGAGAAGCAGGAGGTAAAATCAAGCTCAGACGTACAGAGACTGATGCACAAGATGCAGAATTGGACTTCACAAACTCGCAATCAATTTGGAAGCCCTCTGATAACATCTTCTTTGCAAAATGTTTTCTGTGGAGTGGGTCATCAACTACTGCAGTAACATGCCATTCAATGGCAGCATCTCTAGGTAAGTTAGTTACAACAACCACAGCAAGCATCTGACATTCTGCAGCTACTTCACTATATGCTTCTGGATCTTCAACCTAGAAGATAAACAAAATATTTTGCATGTTACATAACTGCTAGAAATTAATGTTGCTCCTATTCAGATGATATATTCAAAAAAAGTATCTGCAGTACAGCTATTTCAGGTGGCTGGGTTTTTTTGTATTTTTTTTCTCTGTAAAATTTCCTTCCTATTTAAGTCATTTTGAGCAACTATGAATTCATCTGGCAGTTAATATCTGCTCATTTTTTCCTATTTAGATACTACTATGCCTTTATCATGTAAAGAAATTCTGTTCTTAACGTATTTAACAATTAAATATATATATACATATATTTGCGTATGGCAATTTCTGTCCATTTCAATGAACAAAATTTCCATTCTTTAAAGAATAGCAATAGTAGTAAGTACCGAAGCTACAGCAATGGATTAATAAAATATACGTCTTTAGTTTAAAAGTTGAAATACAAAAGATAAAGCTTAGATATAGCAAAGATTCCTTTGGTCTAAGTATTGTGTCCAGTTCTGGAGTACCCAACACAAGAAGGACATGGAGTTGTTGGAGCAGGTCCAGGTGAAGGCCCACAAAGATGATCAGAGGGCTGGAGCACCTATGCTGTGATGACAGACTGAGAGAGCTGGGGCTCTTCAGCCTGGAGGAGAGAAGGCTCTGAGAAGACCTTATAGTGGCCTTCCAATATCTGAAGGGGGCCTACAGGAAAGCTGGGGTAGGACTGTTTATAAGGGCAGGTAGCAACAGGACAAGGGGAAGTGGTTTTAAACTGAAAGAGGGTAGATTTAGACTAGATACTGAGAAGAAATTCTTTACTGTGAGGGTGGTGAAACAGTAGAACAGGTTGCCCAGTAAGGTTGTGAATGTCCCCACCATGGAACCATTCAAGGCCAGGTTGAACGGGGCTTTGAGCAACCTGGTCTAGAGGGAGGTGTCCCTGCCTATAGCAGGGGGATTGGAACTAGATGATCTTAAAGGTTCCCTTCCAACACAAACCATTCTATGATTCTGTGTTTCTAAATGAACCCTCTTAAAGACAAGAGCATCTTCTCAATAGTGGAATTATTTTGAAAGCACCCTAAATTGTTTTTACATCAACAAACACATCTAATTAGCTTATTCGGTAAGCTAACTCTGAGAAACTGACCTCTTTTTTCTCTAATGGTATTAATGAATTGGGAGAGGCTTTCTTCTTACTTCTTTGTAAGAATTTTAGGATAAATCACATTGGAACATGTTATTAAGGTATTGGATGTGAATATAATGTTTCAAAACACTTAAGTGCTATGCCATGAGCCAGAGGAGGAAACTGTCAATTTGCAGTCATGTCAACACAAATCAACTGTACTTAAGTACACTATATAGCATTATCTGTAAAACCTAAAATGAGTTCATAAAAGTATTATCTTGTCCCCATATTCTTGCAAAGTATTCTATCCTTTGTTTGTTTGTTTGTTTTTACCAGAATACACAGAGCAGAGGCCTCAGAATGCAGCTGAGGATTCGCCTTGCAGTGGGCTGAAGCCCAGCTGGCAGTGAAGCTTCATAGCTACTTGCTTGCTCCTCCCCACCCCAATGGCATAAGTGAAAAAACTCGGGGACTGACATAAAAGCAGCTTGATAAGTGAAGTAAAGAGGAGGAAGAAAGGAAAAAATACATAACACTTCATGCAAAGACAATCCCTCAACACCTGTCACAGGCAGACCTATGTTCAGCCAGTCTCTAAGCAATGGGTACCTTTCCAAAACCCACCTCCTCATTGTTTTTATCACTGTATAAGGTGTCATATGATATGGATATCCCTTTGAACTCTTCAGGTCAGCTATCTTGCCTGTGCCTTCCTCAGCTTCTTGTGCACCCCCAGCCTATTTGCTGTGTGGGTAGTGTGAGGAACAGAGAAGTCCCTGATGCTGCTCAGACACTGCTCAGATGTACCTAAAGCATGTCATGCACACTGCTTTGGCCACTCATCCAGTACACAGCACTGTAAGGGCTGCTATGAAGAAATTCAGCTCTATCCTGGCCAGACACACATTTATGTGTGCTGTAACCTTATAGTTAAATTCATATACTCATACTCCTATTTTATGACAATGTCTACTTATGGAAAACAACTGAATTTTATGATATATGCTCTCCAAAAGAATAAATGTACCTTTATCTGCTTTTTGAACAAATACATTCTAATTTGAAGAATTATAGGTATTTATTCTGTTCAGAAGATTTTTTTTGTCTTATTTTTTCCTCCATTTTTAAGACAGACAATATATATATTAAGTGTTTTTGAGATTAGGGATTTATATCATCTTTGTGTACACAGATAATAACTTTTGTGTACACAAATAATAACAAAGATAATATCTTTGTGTACACAGATAACTTTTTTATATTTGCTTACCCTGCAGTATATATTGTTTATACTGTCCATTGCCTGATTTCTGAAAGGAACAATAATAACAAGGCAAAACTGTCATTTTACCTGAAGTTGATAAGGCCATATAACTCTCAGTACCTTCAATTCACAAACTCAATTTTCATCCGCTCGCTCTCAACTTTAAGGGGAAGAAATAATGACATGTTACATGCACTCACAAGGTTATTGACAAGCATTTTCCACAGAATATCTTTGATGCTTGACCCTTGTGAGCTGTTTACATGAAAAATGCACTTACTTCTATATTAACGATAGTGGAGTCTAATTCTATACCAAACATCTAGCAATTGCTTTAGCATTTCTGTTTTTGATATGGGAACAAAAATAGGGATAATTTGTCTCAAATTGCAGTCACTCCAGTTATAAGAAAATCTCACTGAGTACTGTTTGCTTTCAGTACTTTCATTAGGCAAGCTGGGGCTGTTATTAAGGTACCAACACATAAATGTTATATTAGCACTTAACAGGAGGAGCACACAGTATTCTCCTCTGGGAGATGAATTCTAACCTTGTCAATAAAATTCTGCTCTGAGTGCTGTAAAACAGTTTGAAAAGATGAAACACCGGAGTTTTGCACTGAGGGAAGAAAAAAAAAAAAAAAAAAAAGGCATGCTCATTCAGGCTTAAAGGCCACTTTGCTGGCCCAAGGTGCTGAGGCAGTTTAGAAAAAAAGTCTAGAGAAGCTCTCTCAGGTCACATCAAGCACTAAGACAAACTTTTCTACTTCCCTGTACTTGTCTTAGGTTGTTAAATCAATTACTCACTATTTCTGCTTGCCTTCAGCTGCCATTTAGAATATGAAGAAATACATGAAAATTAAGGCCAGGAGAAAGCACATTTCCAAATTTAACAAACGAGAATTATTCTGAGTGAAAGACTGTTCATGGTGCACCTGTGCAGTACCATAGCACTCATAACCTTTAACTTTAGAATTTGCACAAAGCACAAATGATAGAGCTACTAGGGACTAACAATCTTTCATCAGCTGCTAAAAATCAAACATAAATACTACTAACAATGACCTCTCCTGACTTATTTTCAAGAAATCACTGACATTTGTGTTGTACATGAATGCTGCATTTGAGTTATCTGTCAGAAATTTACAACTGTCTTAAACAGTTGAATATTGTTACGATAGCTTCCCTTGTACGTGGGGATGAATATTTATGGGTCTGCTAAGAAATTCTAATCATATAATGCTGGAACAATATAAGTTTGTATTAAGAGTGCAAATAAGTTACTCTTTATAATTGATTCTACACTGTCCTCAGTGAGACAGCACTTTCTGGCAGATACCTACGGTAATAGTAAGAAAAACATGGATTTCAGGTTATTGCACAAGAATAATGCTGTAGAGCATTCTATAAACGAGCATGAGTTTCAGCCTAGTCCTTCTCTCACATCTTCACAGTCTTGAAAAGAGCAAGCACAAATTGAGGTAGAGGAGGAAGCACCTTGGCTTGGCCTATTATTCTTGAAAAAGAAGTGTCAAATAATTCTTGGAAACCTCTGTGAAAATCTTATTAATGAGGTGATAAAACAAGGCCAGACAAAGTTGCAAGCAGTGATTCCTTAAAGTATGTACAACCTGAACTTTACAAATCTCTACAAATTTCATTATGCTGTAAGCGTAGCTGCTATCTAAAGGCATTTGCTCTTAAATAATTATTTCCTGGCTAAGAATTAACAGTACTCAAGTGATTTTCAATTCATGTAAGATAGTATGCCTGTAAAAGATCCTCATATCCTGCTATGAGCATTTCCACAGGAAATTTAAACATTTAAACCAAAAAAAAACACTGCAAAGTAAATTTGCACTAGGAATAGTTTGTTCATTATCAGAAAAAATAAACAGAACTAAAGGTTCAATGGCAGACTGCTGAGGTACTATGGAGAAGGATGCTTCTTCTATAGCATATATATTTACATGCTCTGATTTAAAGAAGGTTGGAGCAGGAAGTCAGCATCCTTTCACCATGAAGGAGATAGCCTCTGAAAATAAATTAATCTGTAACAATGCCTTCTTCCAGGGGTGGATGCAAACTGGATCATCTCAGAGACCAGACTATGACAGGATTCTGACCCTATGTGAATTGGTAAATCCAAGGACTTTAAAAAAAGATGTGATATGACAGTGATTTAGAGTGTGATTGTCTTATTTACCTGCAATTTTATGATAACAAATTTGACTGATACAATATTACAGTAAACACTGAAAAGGGTCCCATGCTATGTTAAGTAACATCGTGGAAAGTCTTCATGGACTGGTTAATAAAGAATCACAGCAGGTGACAGCAGTCAGAAAACCAAGTAAAACATGATGAATTGTTAACAAAGGAATAGAGATCACAGTGGACTATGTTATGCCACTGTAGAAATTCACAGTTCATTCACATCTTGTGTAAGATACACACCTCTTGATCTTTCAGATGAAAAAGGTCATACTAGATGCAAAATGTGTTCAGAGGAATACAACAAGGATGATCAAAAAGATCTGGAAAATTTGAATGAAAATGTTCTTCAGCTTCCTTAAGTAGACTCTGACCAGGGTTTACAAAGTCATGCATGACATAAAAAGAGTAGATCGAG